TTGGTTCTTTACTTTTCTTAAAAGATGCGTTTTATTGTTAATGTTGTTAATGTATACCAGGTACAGAGGAAGAAGAAACACTATAATTTTTCAGAGTTTTTTATAATTGAAATAGTTTTTCTTTGCTTTGTTGAATGGAGGAATAGGCGCTGAGTGTCTCGCTTGTGCCTCTCCAGCCTTTTACACTGTGCAGGGTCGTATATGGTGCTTTAAGTCACCATTTCTGCAAATGGTAATTCTAGAGTGCATGCATACAGTATTAATGGAGGAGTACCTCAGATGACTGCATGGGGTAGCAGATCTCCTTCTGTCCTTATGGCTGCTTGGGGCAGACGCATTGTACATTTTCCTGTTGAAGGGAATTGTTTCCTGCCATGCCTCTACAAAGCTGCACTTGTGATTTAGATTGCTCTCAAGATTGGCTATAACAGATTATATGACACATTCTTCTAGAGAGGGGCAAGTGGTCCTACTGTGTGCTTAGCCTTGCCAAGACAGTAAGATTAGACAGACTGGCAGGTGGGAGTCTGGGAACCAAAGGTGTTAGTTTAGGCTACAGGGGAAACACTAGACATGGCAGATCAAGGTCATTCACTATTATTCTCCACTCAAAACAAAGATTCCATGTGAGCATTGGGATGAACAAGGTCAGGCCATACTTGACAGATAATTAAATTGGAGGATCATATGGGATGCAACAAACAACAGTCCTTGAGGATACTGAATACAGCAGACAGAGAATTGAAACAAGGAACAATATTGGTTGTTTTTGTACAATTCAGTGAGGTTGGCGTTGCTCTTGAACAATTTCTCTTAGCTAATTACTTAAAAGTTTTTGACCAAGAAATAAAAGATAAATTATGACCAACTGAAATAGGAATATACCTGATGTTTTAATGAGATTTATCAGACATTCTTCTTTAGTAAGAGAGCACCAGTGTTACTCTGTCCAGACAGCATCTGCTTTTCCACATAGGCATTTTTATCTTTGCTTCAGTGTTATTACATACATATGAAGCAAAAGTACTTGTTGATATGAGGGACAAGTTACTAATAGTGGTGCAAATAGTGAGATAAGCCTGTTGTTCTTCTCCTTCCTCAAAACATCTAACAGACAACTCTACTGCCATCCATGGCTTCTCCAAGAACCTCCACTTCGCTATTAATTTCTTCCATGCTGGTACCATGTTTAGAAAAACAGTGTTGAATTTCTTCTTGCTAATACTGTTTCTAACTCTGAGAAGCAGAAAAAATGTACTGAGTCTGTTTATCTGCACGTTTTTCAAACGAAATTGAATTGAATTTATACAGAGGTCATACAGGATATTTGCCACTGCTAGAAATTACTTAGAATGGACATTAGTGTTTGTAAGAATTGAATGTAAATCCACTTACTCCTTTTGCAGTGATTTCTGTCTGAATTGTATCTTTTAAAAATACTACCGAAGGTCCAGTCTTCCCAGTCTAACTGTTTCTGACCCCATTAGCTGTTGGAAGAAGTGTTAAAAATACAGAAAACTGTAATAGAAAGAAAAGATATGTGTATTGCAGACTTGTGTTGCCATTGATTTCTTGGAATAAGATTTTTCTATTCAGGTTTCATGTTGAAGTACTAGAACAGTTCCAGGTGTGTACTTCCCTTGTGACATGGAGTCAGTCTGTGGAAGTACTGAACAGAATATTTAGGTATCTTAAGTAGGTGGCACTTAATGCTTCTGATGCAAGAAATTGGCAATGTGGTCACATGTAAGGATGCCATTTTTAATTTCTGATTAGGGGTGCCCCTAGGAGATTTTGTGTTCTGCCAGATTGGAAACTTTATATTGGATAAAGTCACGAAACTCCAGGAAGGAGATGGACAGCGGTGATCATAAGCATGACCTACTGTATATATTTAAGGAAGCAGCTTAGACAAGTGTCTCCTGCTCCTCCAGTAGAACAAGTTGCTATTGCATAAGCAGCACTAACCAGCTTGTATAATTAATGAAATATCAAGCCATTTAATTCAAAAACAATTCTTGAGGAAGCTAACCAGGGATACTGAATTTTTGAGGATGTAGTTTGTGCTTACAAAGACTGTATTTCTTGAATAGCAGTAACCAGCAATAACAAGAAGCTATTGATCTTTACGATAAATTTAGGGGAAAATTCTGCATCCCTTTGCTGTGTCTTCTGCCCACTCTGTCAGCTCTATGTTGTGTATGTGTTGCATGTGCAGAGGCAGGTGTGAGCAGAGTGGGGGCAGGATGGAGATAATAGCCTCTGCTAATCCCCCACTGGCATAGTGTCTATTAGGAGTCAGTGATGTAATTAGAGTTGAAACCCTGCTGTCTCTCATCTCTCAATGTCACATGGCCACCAGTCTATCCGAGCATAATTTGTCCATCATGGGGAAATGTAGCCTGAATATAAATCTGCTCTTTTGCTGTCTTGTAGACGGGTTTGATACAACATTAAGATCGTAGCTCATTCCCCCACTCCCCTTTCAGAATATTGGCAGACCTGAGATGCCTGTATCCAGGAATGGCTTCCAAGTACTACTGCTTCCTTGTTTTAGAGAAGAGGGATATGTGTTCCTTTATAATTTGAGGTTGTCATAATTATACTCAAATTAGGCCATACAAATACTATTTGCCTTCTTTACTTTCTCCTGATTTACTCACCAGACTCCATAAAGTTTAAGCATTTTAAGCTCAGTTAACTTTAAGTGTTTTGTCTAATTTGGACTTTCCTTTCTGGAGAACCTCTGGAAGCATAGCCTTAGGAAGGCATTTGAATTTAAACTGTTACTGAGCTTGACCTGTAGCATGTTAGTTGCAGGAAGATGATGGCCACTCCTCTTGCAGCATCCGGCAACAGCCTTCTGCTGCCCTGAGTCTTGCTGGTTGCCCTCCAAGTGACTGGTGTCCCAAGTCCCCAAGCTGTACCAGCCCATACTGCTGTGAGGGCTGCATAAAGACATCAACCTCTATGTCTAACCTTATGTGTGGTGCTACAGATGGATTCAGCAAGCCAGTGGTAAGGGATAGTGTTACACGCAGCTGCATCCAAAGGGCTCTTCTTCATTGCACTCAAAAATTCCACTCAGACAGCTGGCAGTCGATGCAAAACCAGGAGGAGTGGCTGGAACACCAGATGGGTGTGCTACCCATTCAGAGCCACCTAGGCAGGCTAGGAAAGTGGGATGAGAGGAATCTTGAAGTTCATCAAAGGGAAAGGCCAAATTCTGCATGAGGGGATGAGTAATAAACACAGCAGTGCAGGCCCAACTGGCAGGAAACTGCTTTGCACTGGAGTACCTGGGGGTTCGTGGTGGGCAGCAAGTTGCATACAGGCCAGCAGTGTGTTCTTGAAGCAAGGGAGGTAAATGGCATCTGGTCTGCTTTAGGAAAATCATCACCAGCAGCTTGAGGGATATGATCCTTCCTTTCTGTTCCACTCTAGTGAAACATCTGCAGTGTTGGGTCTAGTTCTGGGCTCCCCAAGAGAAGAAAGACACAGACATCTTAGAGTAAGCCTGGCAAAGGGCCAGAGAGACGATGAACCGGAGCATCTCTTCTGTGGGGAGTAACTGAGAAAACTGGGACTCTTCAGCTTTGAAGCAGAGAGGGCTCAAGGGGACATATCAGTTTGTGTGAATACCTGATCCCCCACACTGCAGAAGACAGGGCCAGACTCCTCTCAGTTCCCAGTGACAGAACTAGAGGCAGTGAGCACAAATAGAAGTACAGGAAATTCCTTCTGAGAATAATAAAAGAGTATTTTCTTTTCACTGTGGAGGTGACAGAGCAGAACAGTTGCACATATTGCCCAGAAAGGTTGTGGAGTCTCCATCCCTGGAGATACTCAAAAGCTGTCTGGGCCAGGTTCTGGACATCTGGCTCTAGGTGGCCCTGTGTTGAGCAGGGGTGTTGCAGCAGTTGACTTCTAGAAATTACTTCCAACCTCAGCCATTGTGGGATTCTGTGAAATGTTTATTACGCTCCACTAATCTTACACAGTAATACCTGTAGTGCACTACACTGTAGTGCACTTTCCTCTCCCCCCTCAAAGGGAATCTGACATCTCTATGTTACATCTTCACAGTGAGATTTTTCAGAAGGTAAAGTTATGAACTGTAACTCCATTAGTTATGAGTCATGGAAACATTGATTTTGAAACATTTGTATTTTACCCTGTTTAAAAGTTGTTTGTGGTTACAATTACTTTTTGCTTGCCATCAGTATTGTTTTGGTTTTTTGCTCAAATTGAAAATATGTTTGTGTTTTCAAAACAAATGTCATTGTGGGAAAAGAATCAAGCATTGCCAATTTTTTTCACAGCAGGAATATTTTCACTGGCTGGATCTGGTAAACCACTTCTGAAGAGAAAATTTCATTCTAACACTACATGTACACACACACACACATAAACATATTTGAACATCCATGTATTTTGCTTTAAATTCAGGCTACGTTAAGTATTCCTGTGGAACACATCCAGGTCAGGCATGATCAATAAAATTTGGGCTATATGTTGCTCGTACCTTTCTGCTTTGAAACAAACCATCTGTCAGTAAATATTTCTTACTACCAAGTCCCCCAGTCACACTGAAACCTGGGGTCTCATCTGCAGTGTACAAATATATTGAGGTTTTTTCTGATATACAGAACAGAAACATATTGTATGCCTTCACTGCTATTTTGTTATTTCACATCAAATCTTTTGAAGAAATGAGTATTTGCTGATGTAGTATTTCACTCAGGAGAGAGAAATCATGTTCCGACTTTTCTCTCTTGACGAGTAGACACTGAATCAGTGTGAAGAATAGAAAATCTTATAGACTGTGATTAGTTAAGTCTGTAGCGTAGTACAAACTTTTATTCAGGAAATTCAGTGAGTTCAGAAGTATGGCACTGGTAGACAGGATATGCAGTGGATTTTAATACAGTCTTTTTATATCCAATGTATCCTGTAATTTTGTATGGAGTTTACATGCCACATCCTCTTTTTCTTTGCAGGGTACATACCCAGTTACTTAGACAAGGATGAGCTATGTGTAGTATGCGGGGACAAAGCCACCGGATATCATTATCGCTGCATCACTTGCGAAGGTTGCAAGGTAAATGGCACAGTGGGAAAGTGGGAATCAGAAATAGCTCTCCAGCTCCTCCATTATACAGACTTCCTGAACTGTGCTGTCAAATCAAATAAAGACAGATTAGAAGCTAATAAGAACATCCAGTACTGATGATAAGCCGTATCTGACCATGCTGCTATTCTTCATATGCATAAGGACTATAGTTGGTTTTTGCCGTGTTTGCTTCTGAAAAGAAAACAAGAAATTTAGATTGTTGTTGCTGCTGTTTAACAGTTAGCTTTTGAATTTCCATTTTTTAATGTTTCTTTATCCGTGTTCGCATCCAGGGTACATCAGCATGTTCCCAGCTACTCCACTGAAGCTGTTTATGCAATAGCTAAGGTTCTGCTTATGTTCATGAAGTCTGTAGCGATTAGCAGTGTTCCAGTGCCTCTCACCATCCCTGTGAAGAAGCAAAAATCAAAATCCTTTCCACATGCTCATGTTACAGTAACATCCATCAATTTGGGAAGCATTGACACCCAATTAAAATAGTTTCAAAAAGATTTTGACTTCTTTAACTTAAGCATATTGAAATGTGCTTTCAGCCCTAAAATGCATCTCCAAGAATACATGCAAAATTAAATTTAAAAAGAGATTGCTTTGGGCAAGTAAATAAAAAAATGGAGTAACACAATCAGACACATCTTACATGATTTCACTGCCATGAATTTGCCTGAATAGCTTGAGATTCTGTAAGAAAGCTATTCTTTCCTGCAGAAAGTAAAAAACAAAAATGTTTTTCTAAACAAATGGGACCACACATGTCTTGGGCTAGTGTCATGAGACTAAGCCATGAAAGTCTCATTCTGTTCACCCACAAAGTCTGGAACATTTGGATCTGATATTTTGGGTTTGGATTGGCTTTAGAGCTCCTCATCACAGTAACTCATGAAGTAGTTCTTTTGGTTGTACATCATTTCCCTAAGTTACATTTGTGAAATACACAGAGACCTAAATATCCTATGTATAGCAGATTCATGGTAATATTCATAATGGTTTTATACATATACTTACATACAAAGTATAAAAAAGTACTTATATCTTTAAAAAAAAACTTTGGAGCTGCACAAGTGGTTCTTACACATTTGCATCCTGAATACAATATACAGATGATAACAATACATGTATGGCTGTGATTTAATTTAGATGTAATGGGAAGTAAGCAGTACTGGGGCAGTATGAAGTATACTTAGCTCCCAGCTGAACAGCTGTACCTATTGCAAGCTTTCCTGCTAAGGTTTTCATTACTTCAAGTCAAGCAGTTCTTTTTATGCCTACCAGCTATTTTAGAGACATAGCATACAAATTTGCTTTTATCTTCACATACAGTTCTTCTCTCTGATGTACAATTTTAAATAATGCTTATGCACACAAGGACCTGAGATAACAATTTGCAAAAGTAATTATTTTCTTGGAGGAGCTGCATACACATTTCAAGCTGTATGATATATCAACAAAATTATATGATTTATCAATACACAATATATATAATAAATTTTCAATTAATTTGATGTTTACTAGTTGCTTCCACTCAAAGTCACTTTAGTTTCGTAACAAGCATAATCAAGGCTGACAACCAAAGATTTGCTTTGGCAAGTGCTTTCATGAACAAAGCATCCTCACACATGATTTCTGAAGAGTAAATTGTGAGGAATTTAAACACAAATAAATGAGCAGTGAGTTCTGACATCACTGAAATGTTTTTCCTGACTTTACCCATTGCATCTACTGCTATATATGTGTGTAGTAAAGGAGTTTAGAAGGAGTTACTGCTTACTGTACAATGTGCTTTCTTTTATTGATGAGAATAACCCTTCTGTGGTGAAGTGTTTAGAGAGATACAGAGAGCAGCTTCCTTAACATGTATCTAGAGATGAACAAAGAAGGATTTTTGCAAATTTTTTCTGAGAAATGCAAAGAAGTGAGAAGGCGAAATGGGCTGTCCCAGCAGAGGTGATGGAGACCCTTGCCATCATAAAGCTACAGCTACATGAAATCCCATGCAAGGTTTAGAAAGCAGAAGCTCACTCGCTGAGATTCATTAGAGAGTTTTCTAGCTCTTGCTTCATAACTATTGATAACCCTGTGACCCTGGTTGTCCACAGCCATCTTAGGTGTTCAGGAAGGGGTGGAGCCTCTAGGAATTCATCTCAGGGTTGAGAACAGAACAAAAACTGGGTGTTCAGTAGATGAGACTTTGAGACTTATTCCAAACCCCACATAAGGATATCTTGCCTGTGATTTCCTGGATTTTATCTTAACACAACTGGTCCCAGTCGTGCAAAGGCTCCCACACAAGCTTTATGCCACGCAGTTTAATTAACATTTCAGGTTTTACCATAATTAAGGAAGAAAGAGTTGTACTCTTTGCTCAAGCTGAACCTCGTAAGATAAAACTCTAATGAGGACAAGTCTCTTCATTGTTTTCACAGGAGTTAGGAGTACAAACTGAAATGCAGACTTATCTGTACATGTTAATTCAACATTTTGTGTTAAAAGAAATTGTGCACTGCTTTAAGATTTTACTGGGTATTATTTAACATGATTTAAAAACAGACCTTTCGCCTACTGAAGTGAAGAGACTATTCATTAGACAAAATCCCAGCTGAAGAGACTATTCACAAGGTAAAATCTCCCTTGAATTTTGCCATTGTTTTGACTAAAAGCAAAGCCATTCTAAGCAGCCTCAGTCAAACAGGACCAGAGTGTCAGTGTGTTCTCTGTGTCAAGGTAATCCCGAGCTGCATTGCTGAATCTAGACAGTCTCAAGTAATGGTGAAACTTGAAATTAAAGTGAAGTCTAAATTTTCTGCTTGTTCATATCTTGCAGTCTTGGGGAGGTTATCCAGCCCTTGCAAAAGTCAGTGAGAAAAGTCATGTTGAAATTAATGCCAGGATTTTACCCATAATGTTCAGAGATAACTTTTATCTGATTTTATTACCTCCAGCAAGGTTTTATGGGGCACTTGAATGAGTGAATTCAGTGGGATTGCATTAGTTCATATGGTCTTAGGATCTGTTTAAATTTGCAGGATAGATCTGTATTATGATAGATAGATAGATAGATAGATATAGATAGAGAGATGATAGACAGACGAGTCTTTGGTGGTGATGGGGCTTTTGGGGCTTTTGAAATTCTGTGGTAAATACAAATTAAATCTGTTTCTCAGAAATACAAATAATTTGTAAATTAGGGATGCTTTCAGTTTAGAACCAAACTCAAAGATTGTGTAGACTGTATTTGCAAAATCCTTTTCTTGCCCAGATTTGGTTGGTTATTTGGCTTTTATGGAAATAAAGGAGTGGAACTGTTTGTCCTCAATCCTTTAATAGCACAAACACACCACCATACTTACTATTTGCAGAAGCTGCTTTTTAATTAAAACTATGTGTATGCCTTTCAATATCCTTCAAAATAATTAAAGAGTTTGAAAAGGGGCTCAAAAATACTTCATATACAAAAAAAATTTAACAGTAAAAAATAAGACTACAAGAAGACAAGTACACAGTATTTGTGTCTCAAGACAGCACTACTTGCACCTTTACTTATCTAAGGTGTCTTTATGTTTTCAATTGTTAAGGAAAAGCAAGAGAAATGCCGTACACTATAAAACTGGTTTGAGAGCTTTGAGAATTTTTGGTAATGAAGTGTGTTATCTTGCATACTTAGGTACATGCCTAACAAATCAAGCAGCTCCCAATTTTTAAAAATTGCTCAGTGCTAATGCTTTCCTATGTATTTATTTTTTGCACCTAGGGTTTTTTTAGAAGAACCATTCAGAAGAACCTCCATCCAACCTATTCCTGTAAATATGAAGGAAAATGTGTGATAGACAAAGTAACAAGAAATCAGTGCCAGGAATGTCGCTTCAAAAAATGTATCTTTGTTGGCATGGCAACAGATTGTAAGTATATTTTCCTGGTTTTTCTTTATTTTATTTTTTTTTCAGTGTCTGTGTTTGCTTAAAGTATGTTGATTGATGAAGCTTGTGAAAGTAAAGTAGAACTGCCAGCCCTTTTCTGGTTTTAATAATACCAAGGAATCATACTCGTTGCATTAAGCCACTTTCACAGGGCTGTAATTTTCTGTTTATCCTTCATCAGGCTGCACCTTCTCCTGGCCTTACCAAGCTGAGTAACAATAGGAATGTTCACTCTTTGGAGGAGAGGAGGGAGAAATGCATCTGGACGGACACTTTGCTTGAGATAAAAACATCTTGTTTAGAAAATTCTGGAGGATGTGAAATTGAATGTCATTGTATGAGTCATCCTGCAGTTGTTTGTTTTATTTTTAGCCCTGAAGAAGTTATCTGCTGGAAAGATTTTGAGTCTCTTCTAAAGAACTAGAAAATATGGCTGTAAGATTAATCCTTAGGGGTCTTCTTTTCCTGCCGTTGCACAGGGATTTACACCAATAACTTCAATTACTACAAATGGGAGGAAGTCACATAAAGCCCCCAGAAGTCATATAAATCCTCTTGTGCCTTCATGGTTGTTGCCAGTATTATCCTTTGCAGAAGAACTGACAGGAAAACAGGCCCAGTAAACAACAGAAGAATAGTCTAACTTGGTATTTTCATTGCTAATGTAATGTATATCAGTGCCCTCTGTCTAGAGGGAAATAGAATAAAGGAGACAATTTCATTATAGCCAGGTAGACCTTCAGGAGAGGGGCTGGATACCAGTGAAGGGGTAAGCAGAGCAGCCCTGGGGCCTGTGTATCTGGAGTCACTGAAATTAATGGGGCTTTACAGGAACACCACTTGTGGGGATTAGGGAAGAGCCAAAGGCATCTTGACCTGATTGTGTCATGCTTCAGCCAGATGACCCTTCTATGAATAAGTGCTTCCACTTTCTTAGATCCATTTTACCTTCTGTTGGCATCCAAGTAAATGTTCTGCACTTCAGGGCAGTGAGTGTGAACATGCTGATATGACTTCAAAGAAAACAGAAGTGCATCTTTCCCAATATGGATTACTCCAAGTCCGTTATAGGAGCACTTGGACACCTTACAAAGCTTTTGCATATTAGTTTTATTGGTGGAACAACCCCTTGAGGGCAGTGGCAGTATACAGGGCATTACCAGGACGGTAAGTCACTCTTTGCTATCCAGGCTTCTGAGAAAACAAAGTTTGAAGAGAGAAGTAAGAGAACTGTCTCAACTGTTGGTCTTGCCAAGGTACTTCCTTACTGATTAGTTAAGGTGTTTGTTAGCAACTGTTACCTCAGGCACACAAAAGACCAGAGTTTTGACAGTCTTACGAGCTTCCTGCCATTTTTGTATGTTTTTTCCCCTGCTAGTGGTGTTGGATGACAGCAAGAGGTTGGCAAAGAGGAAGCTGATAGAAGAAAATCGAGAGAAGAGACGGCGGGAAGAGCTGCAGAAAACCATTGGGCACAAACCAGAGCCAACAGATGAGGAATGGGAGCTCATCAAAATTGTCACTGAAGCACATGTGGCCACCAATGCACAGGGAAGCCACTGGAAGCAGAAAAGGAAATTTCTGGTATGGGCTGTAGCCTTGTACGCTGCTCTTAAAGCCAGGTTCTGTTCCTTCTTCTGCAGTGCTTTCCCAGCATTGCAACCCCAAAAGAGATTTTATCACCAGTGTTTTTTTGTGAAAAAAGGATGATTTTGTGTAGTTATTACTTCATTTTTCGTGTCTGAACCTCAGTGTTAGATCAGACTATGTCTTTCAAAAGATAAACAGCCTGTTGCTATGTTAAGGCTTACTCAGCTGGATACTTTTATTATTATGTGCTATTTATTATTATGTGCTATGATAAGAAAAAGTAGAAAAATTGTTTCTCTCCTGACTGAGAACAGAAGTAGTCTATAATTCATACTGTATTTTTTTAATATATTCTATTTAGGGATAGTTGTCTTTATTAGGGACTATCATAAAACATATTGAAAGTGTTAAAGCAATATAAATTTCTAGATAAAAGCTGGTGCTTTTGGTTAATAACTCAGGGGTTTTGCCTCTTTTGGTTGATGGTGAATACAGTAATGAAAATAAATTCAGCAAGGAAAATTAATTTCAGTGAGAACAGGATGATACATATACCATACCATTGGGATTGCAGCCTACAAAACAACTCAGATTTTCATCCTACAACTAAGGGTCAGAAAATAAATGGTGATTTGTGGTGCTCAACCTTAAAAATGGATTTATTTGATTTTTCTAAATTGATTTTTAAGGGAAATAAGTGCAGAATGCAAAATGCTTGTACCACAAAAAAGAGGGATTAGAGACTGCATTTCAGAAATACACAGGAGTCTTTAACAGTCAGTATACTAAATCAGATAAAACACACTCATCTTTTTGCAAGCCTAGGCTCCTACTGCGTAATTCACCGTGGGAATTTCAACTCACTGTTGAATTGCTAAGAGAAATTATGTACTCAGAGCAGCTGATCTCTTTTCTAATGTTGGGGGTTTTTTAATGCCAGTGACACCATCTAAATTTCTATATGAATGGCTCGTGTTCATAGTAGTCCACAGTCAGGAAACCACAGCCAGTCATCACTGACAAGAACCAAGAAAGCACTTTCCAGGGGCGTTGCAGAGCAAGGTGTGAGCAGATCAAGAAGCAACTGCAGTAGTACTTTTGGTTGCTTAGACAGGAGTGCTGTTCTTCACTGGTATCAGCTGGTTTGGGATAAAACCTAGGTAGCTAGAGTTTGGGGCTGGGAATGAGCTGTTGAAGAGCAGGAGAAGCTGACAATCTGCCCCAGGAGCTATGGATCTGTCCTTACGTGGCTGAGGCAGGTTCTTTGACAACAGGGACTTCATTGGGGTCCACACCTCCTTTCCTCTTGAGTTAGGTGGAAGGAGCTCCCCTCCAGTGTGTTAGCTTTAGCTGGCTCTCCTGACTTGCTTTGCCTTTCCCAAGAAAATGCTGTGCTCTTCCTTTTTCTCCATAACAATGGTTCATGTGGTTTAAGCATTCGGTATTTTTTGCTTGGAAGCGATGAAGGTTGTTTATCATGAGCACACAAACAATGTGGTTTAGTTACCCAAGATTCAGGAAGGGAGAGAGCCTAGAAATGAGTTTATTTGAGTTTTTTAGTAGAAACCATCAGATAATTGAGCCCAGTCTTTTTCATTGTTCCTTTACAATTGGTGCTTGCTTTAGTAACACATTGCTGAGTTTTTTCTTGTAAGAAGTTAGATTTGGATTCAGATTGGTTACAGAAGGACCTTTTATGATGTGTTTCTTTAAAAAAGTGGTTGAACACAAGTTTTTATTACAGACAGCACTTTTAGCACCTCCCCTGTTTAAGTGTCTTCTATAAATGTCATGGGGCCCATCAGTCTTAAAGGTCTGTTTCTCTGGATTTTTTCTAGTTTATGACCTTAGTGTGAACAGAATGAAACCTCTGCATGGTGTTTAATAAGCGTTTGTAATTGCAAAGCCACACTTTATATAAAAAAAAAAAAAAACAGCTTTGATGTGCCTGTTTCTAAAATACATGGTAACATTCGCCAGCTGCATAAAAAACAGGTGAACAAGTTCAAGTACATTTGGAATAAAAAACCACTCCTTATAGATTCTGCTTGAAACTGTTTCATTGTATATTCCTATTGAAATCCTCAAAATATGATTTGTTTTTCATTTGGAGAAGCCTTGAGCTGAAATGATGCAACAGGCAATTTTCAACCAAAACTTACACAGATGAGTTCAAATTCCATTTACATTATCCAGGGCACCTTTAGGTTAGCGTGTTCTTTCTTGCTCATAAGTTGTTTTAGCTTTGCACATTAACTGTTGTAGCCTTTTGGAAACTGGCCTTGGCAATTGCTTGGGGAGGGGGGGGGCCTGTGATACCTGGCAATCTCTTCTGGGGAGACTTTCTGAGCTTTGAGTAGGTAAAGAGCCTAATCCTGCAAAGCAGCAGCATCTTCTCAGGGGTAACACATCTCCTCACCTCTCTTTGCTTTTAGAGAAACTTGAGAGCTTTCAGCTCCTGTAAGGAAAACGTGCCTATGTTTTTCAAGCAAAAGATGCATGTGCTGCACCCATAAAATACATGGATACAGACACAGGGAAGAAACTGTGCGCACAACAGTCCAGCTGTCCACAAAGAATGGGTAGAAGCATACCAGTCACCCATTTCTCTGTGCAGTCACCTCTTTCACAAATGCCTTACAAATGAATTCACATTTTGTGATGTAAATGGGCTTTACTTATAAAGCAAATAGTGTTGCTTTTTATTTTTGCATCTCTTCTATACCAAGCAGGACTTTTTGGAGTATAAAATAGTTGCTCTAAGACAGACTGCTCCTTTAAATATCTTTGTTTATATCCTTAGCCAGAAGATATTGGGCAGGCACCAATAGTTAATGCCCCAGAAGGTGGGAAAGTGGATTTAGAAGCCTTCAGCCAGTTTACAAAAATTATCACACCAGCGATTACAAGAGTGGTGGATTTTGCCAAAAAGTTGCCTATGTTTTGTGAGGTAAGAAGACTTTCTTGCACTCCTCATTTATATGCCTGTTGTTAAAAACTACTCAAAATACTCTGGCATGGAACTTAAAAATTCAATGTGTCTAAAATAAAAAAATTAGACACTCAAAATCAATGGGACTAGAATAATCTGTATTTTCGTAAATTTTCTTTTTCCTGTGATTACTGAAACCCTGAGTGTGTTAATCTGGAAGTCGTTGTGGTTCATTAGGGACTCAGATATGTCTTTAGAGGTGGCCTTGAACAAAGCAAATGAACAAAAAGATACTGTCTAGAAGCATTACTGATATATTTAATAAAATCTTGCAGCACATGGTTCCCTATGTATCTTCTGGCTCCTTGGCAGGTACAGTATTGTAGAGTTGGGTCTACACAGTAAAAAATTCTTGAAATTCATGAAAGTTCCCCTGTCTGGGAGTGGCACTTGCCTCATTGGGTTCCCTAGACTTGGTTTTCCTGAATGGGGAGGTTGTGCATAAAAGAGTCTGTGAAAGCAATGGATTGTCATTCCAAGTAGATACTCACATGTAAATATGCAGTAAATAGACTCAAAGGCTTGGCTGCACATTAGGAATACAGTGGCCTTACACTGATCACATTTGTACCAAGGTATCGTTTTTATTGAAGGACCAGATGTAATGGCTGATTATATTTTTTTTCCTCCCATTTAATAAATGGTATCAAAACTGCAGCCTGAAATAATATTTCGGTCTTAATAATCTAAATAATTTTCATAGAATCATAGAAAGATTTGGGTTGGAAGGGACCCTAAAATCACCCAGTTCCAACCCCCTGCCATCAGCAGGAACACCTTCCATTTCACCCTTTGAGGTCAACACCCTACCAGAAAGGAAGGGTAAGGCAGCCATCAAATTTTACTCTACTGTGGCTGGCAGCTTTTTTTTGAAAGTCAGTCAGGGAGGGCTATGTGTGTTCTCTGGCAAGCACAGAACAAGGAGAGGTCAATATCAATAGTAGTCATAGTGTAAATATCTCACCCTGGCCAGCCTCTGCATTGGTGCCATCAGTCAAGGAAGCACGAAATAGTAGGTAAGCATGAAGATTATAAAATACGAGGAATATGTCCATAGATCATGAACATTTTAGAGTCTGAGGGAATCTGTCTCCTGTGATCTGGCATTTGTTGGTGGGAAATTGCAGTGACATACCAAGGTAGTCTTTTTAATTTAGAAAGCTCTGCCAGTCACACACAGACTTCAGTGCCCATCTGACATCTCCTACCCCTCCTGGCTACCATGGACCCGCTTGTGTCAGAGCTAGGCAGGAAGCATGGATGAAGAAGTCAAGGCATCGTTGAGCATGACCTCTGTGTGTTATGTGGCTCAGCTGGACAGGCTTTGTTTACAGCTGAGCCACTGTGTAAACCTGACACCTGCCCATATACAGCAAGATCTGATGGCAGGGTGAGGGACAACTCCTCATGAACACAAAGCAGTGGGACAGCTGTCCTCTGAGTTGTCATATCACACTTCCTGTAGCATGAAGTAAATGGCAAATGTTTACTCCTTTTGAAGGGGCACCCTCCTGTTAACTTTGTTTCCGTTATGATCTTTAACCCATATCTTTTTCTTAGAAGCGACACTGTGCGGGCTGTAGATTTTATACAGGAAAAAACACTTCTTTTTTCCATAGGACCTGCAGAGCATTTAAACATTAACTCAGTTCATAATTCCAGAAGATGTCCGAGAATGCAGTAAATCTCTATGAAAGAGGGACGTGACAGGGAACATCCATGGCAACTTATATTTTCATGGCTACTTTTCCTTCTTTTTCACATCTTTGGACACATGTAGAAGCCAGCAAAGCACTGTGAGTGCCCAGCTTAGTTTATATGCACCCATTGGCCCCTACCTAAAACTAAGTATCCAATCCCAGACTAATCAAAGTATATGGAAAACTTGATTTGCTTCTCAGCATTTCTCCTGTTGTTTCCTTCCTGCTTTTCTTTCTGCTTAGAAGATGAAGATTGAAGAGACTATAATAAGTTTAATGTGAATTTTAAATGTCAAGGCATCAGTGGTTTCATAGTGGGTGAAGCTGTGTAAATACTCTTTGAGGTCACTCAGCTCAGCTCAATTCCATGGTGCTGAATTGCACATGTCCTGCAGAGGTGAGCACTTCAGGTTCCTGCCTTGTGCCTTTTCTCCCTGCAGAGAGAAAGGAAAGGACAACGCATGGCAGCGTTTCAGTCACATTTGTTGATCCTGCTACTGGAAGATGCTCTGGTAGCAACACTCAAGTGGATGAATGTAGGTAGGATTAAAATCTGCACAGCTGGGAGCAGAACTGATGTTCAAGCCTCCAATCTCTAGTAACTCCTGCTACTGGCAGATAAAACCTGAGGGCTGGCATCTGTGAAACAGGTGTCCCATGTATCCTTCAGAATTAGAAAAGGAGGTGAAAAACAGGCATAGTCAGACTGCCATTACCATAAAGAAGTTTTAAGAAGGATCAAGTAGAAAGAATTCTCATTAGTTTCATAGCTCACTAATAAAACAGCTGAATCATCACAAAATATCTTCTCTACTGTGACCTTTCTTTTCTACTATTCTTTCTTCTGTTTAGAGGCTTAGGGGTTTTTTCATTTCTTTTCTTCTCCCTTCTCTCTTTCTTTCTTTCATGTTCTTTTTTTTCACTTCCATTGCTTTTTCCAGTATCTCTTCACGGTTCCTTTCACATATCTATTCTCATTTTAATTCTTTTAAACTCTGTTTCTTTCCCTACTTCAGTCTCTGCTGACAAACAGTGGAATTGTCATTGGGTAGCAAGACTGCTGCTGTGCCTCTGCAGTCTTCCCCACACTGCTGCTGAGCTGAGGGTCCTCTGTAGGGAAACTGATTTGCTCTGAACAGGATGAGTCAATTTTCTTGTGTATTAAACACTTCACACCTGAAGCTGGCATTGCTGGAAAAGCAGCTGCATGACTCAACTCATTTTCCTGACCATGGCTAGCTCTGTGCTTAAAGCTCTTCTCTAGCAGGGAACTGCTTCCCACTTGCATTAGGTAGCTCTGCATCATTTCCCACCAAATCAGTGCAGTTGCTTTGCACGTACACCGTTGCCATGTAAACCTATAGTTCAGGGGGGTTTCATTTTTGAATTGCAAAACAGGTAAATATAATAATTTTATATAAATCAAAAATAAATGGCTTTTTGCCTCTTTTCAAGACAAGTAGAAGTGTGTTGCTCTTTCATATGTGGGACCCTTTCTGTTGTCTTACAGTCTCAAAACTGTTTTGGTGGGTTTTGTTACCATTGAATAACCTATGAAAACATAAAGACATGCTTTACAGAACAAGTTCTGCTCATGTGTCAGCATCCTGGTTATACTCTGTAAATACAGAACCTTTGGACAGCTTGCCTTTGTAAATGGCGTGGAAAAGACACGTGCCCTGAAGAGCACAGTTTATGCACCAGCATAAAAGCTGTAGCTATACTATAGATTTTATGTCTGTCTAGCAATAGTGTAGGGAGCTCAGGGAGAACAGCCTTACTAGATTAAGTCTAGATTAATAAATTCTCTGTTGTTAAAATGGGCAGTGAGAATTCCTGCTCCACTGTTTGAGGTGTATCCCCTAGATATAAATATTTGTTTGAAACACAGTCCACCCTTACAGACCCTCCCAAATGTCTTTCCTTTCCTCTGGTCAGGTAAGAAATAAGTATGGCTGGTAGTGAATTTAACTGGGATGGCTGAGGTCTGCACCAGCCCCAAATATAGTTTATTCTGCTGTGATAAGTTGTAAGCTGAGGGAGCCAACAGCTGTGTTATTGCTAGATTTCCTCAGGGTGTGTGGGGATGCTAACCAGGGAATGTTGGAACCAGGAACACAGATCCTGGGGCATTGTGCAGAGCAGCATGTTTGGAGAAGAACTGCACTATATAGGGCAGTGTCCTGGGCTGTGAACTGCAACTTTGTGCTTGTGGATCTGTTGTAGCTGTAAAAGCCACTCAGTCTGACAAACATGAATTTTTCTTTGCCATTTATAATTTCTGCAGCTGCCATGTGAAGACCAGATCATCCTTCTGAAAGGCTGCTGTATGGAGATCATGTCCCTCCGAGCAGCAGTTCGCTATGACCCCGAGAGTGAGACTTTAACACTTAATGGGGAGATGGCGGTGACAAGGGGCCAGCTGAAAAATGGGGGTCTTGGCGTAGTGTCTGATGCCATTTTTGACCTGGGCATGTCTCTTTCTTCATTTAACCTGGATGACACCGAGGTTGCCCTTCTTCAGGCTGTTCTGCTCATGTCATCAGGTGAGAACAGAAATATATTGGGGTCCAAACAATTTTGAAACTCTTTGGTCTTTGTCACAATCCTCTTTGTGACAAAAAAGAAATAAGATAGGTTAGATCTTGTAGTGCTGACTAGAGTAATGTGAGAGAAATTTTCTCTCAAAACCCCAGTGACTTATGTTGGTGAGCACTAGGAAAAAAAGTTCAGGGTGTTCAGAGAGTTGGAACTGGTTTTGGTAACACACCTTGCTCAGTTTGGTACTTAGGAATGAGCCACGGATGATCATCAAGATGAAATCAGTTTTGATTTTGAGCCAGTTTGCCTTAAATGAAAAATGGATAATTTAACAACACTGGTCCTTATGTTAAGTTCCCTCTTCCCCCAAGTAATGTCATGCATTGGGCATTCATACACATTTCCACCAGTCTCATATGTTTAGTTTGACTTGCCCTCTTGTTTTCCTAATTAACAGCACCACTGCTTCCTAATGGGCACTTACGAGCTGTACTGCTTCCCTATGTTGGGACCATTTGCAACTGGTCATGATAAAAAAGCAGCACAGACAACTTCCTCCAAAGAGTTTCTAACCTTCTCAATTTGAGTATGTTTTTGTATATGCTTCCAGTGATTGTGCCAGCCCAAAGAGGAAATTCCATTCTTGGGCAGTGGCAGATTTGGCAAGATTTTATTTTAAGATGGCTTTGAAGATTGGGCACTGAATAACAATACACAATCAGTGATTTACAAGCATTAACTGCATCTGAGATTAAAAGGTTTCCACATTAATCACGACACAGCACTTCATTTTCCCCATCAAAACATTTCTGTTTCTTTTTAGGTCCCTACACACTGATACTGGAGCAGAGTTTCCAAAAGGCAATTCAAAAATTACCTGCTTTCCCAGAGGTGCCTCCTGAGAAGTGGCGTGAAAGGGGCTTTCCCAGTCCTCGTCTGGGTGCCAGTTGAGACAGCCAGACTTTTAGCCTTTGTTGTTCCTTGATGCTCCATAACAGCTCATCTAGGATCAAAGCATGATCGAAGCATGATCAAACCATTAGACAGATTGCAGAAAACCAGATTGAAAGGAACTGTAATTTAGATACCTGACAAGGATTTTTTTTTTGCTTCTTTATTAGTTGTTTTACAGAAAAATGTAGATAGAAGCCCTAGCTGAAATCAGGGCTCTGATGTTCTAGTCACTGTAAGGAAGCACTTCCCAAACAGCTACATTCTGTGTAAGTGTGTGTAAGTGAGCAAATCAGGCATTGCATGAAGAAAGGAAGGATTATCTTCTTCTTTTAACAGGTGTAGTACTAGCAAGTGAGTTGGCTGGAGTGAAAGAAGTTTGTGGCAGAGCCACAAATGTCCCCAATCTCTCTCCTTTCTTTCCTAGTGTCAGATCATCCTATTTCTCCTGTTTTATGATCAGACATTTGTTAAAGCAAATAAATAAGAATGATAATTCTGCTGCTTTGTATCTACAGATCGCCCAGGCCTTGTTTGCGTCGAGAGAATAGAAAAGTGTCAAGAAGGTTTCCTCCTGGCATTCGAACACTACATTAATTACAGAAAACACCATGTTGCACACTTTTGGCCAAAACTGCTGATGAAAGTGACAGATCTGCGAATGATCGGAGCCTGCCATGCCAGCCGCTTCCTGCACATGAAGGTGGAGTGCCCCACAGAACTGTTCCCTCCATTGTTCCTGGAAGTGTTTGAGGATTAGAGACTGAAGTGGTTCTCCACACCCCCGTCGCACTACTGGCTGTCATTTCATCCCATTGCCCAGCTCTTCTCACCTGTTTGTTCTTCTTCTTTCGTGGTCTTCTGTTTCTTGAGATGGGGCTGGGGTTTTGTTTGAGTTTTCTTTTGGGGTTGCTGGGGGGCAGTTGTATACACATGGATGAAAACATCCCTTTAATGCGGGTACTTGTGACTATTGCAATTTGTTCTTCAGTCCTTTGATGTGAGTGCTTTGACAGCTTAACAGTGAAAATACGAACAGACCAATCTCATTCACCAGCATTTGTGTGGTCACCAGCTCACACCCATCATTGCCTGGAAAATAGGGGAGAGAGATTGAAGTGGCAGAAAAATAAATTTGCCTTCAAGTTGAAACAGCTATTGTTAATTTGACCCTGGCAATTCTGTCTTGTATTATTCCTTTTGCAGGGTACAACTGACCAATTCATAGTACAGAATTTCTGGTCATTGTGATGGTTTCTATTGTAACAATTACCACTATGGTCTAGAATCTTCATCATCATTATGATCCCATCATTCTCTGAGGTTTTTTCCAGCAGATGCAGTTTAACTCTGCGCCATAAATCAAGTACTTTAAATAATGCAGAGTGTTAGAAAGGACTGAGTCTTTTTTTTTTTTTCCATGTGTATAAGATATTAAGATCTTCAGTTTCTAAATTTGGACTCCAGGTAACTTCACTGGAAGGTTTGTTGGAGTGAGGACAGAAATTTGATTCTCTGAGGTGCTCCTGATAGTGAAGGGGTCTGCTTTTTCTGAGGTGTGTGTAAAATCCATCACTCTGAGGGAGAAGGCTCTCTGTCGGGATAGCAGGCAGTGTCTCAGAGTTATTCAGGGATATGAGAGCTCATGGAATGATGACAAGGAGAATGAAACATATGGGGTGACCTTCAGATAGGACAGAAACCAGCTGTGTTATTAACAACACACAAGACTGTAGAGCTTTATCCCAGGAATACAAATAGTGTTGCTCAGCAGTAATCCTTTGTTTTATATATATATATAAAGTTTATATGCACGTATATATATAATTATATATATATATAATTACAAATCTTCAGCAGATGTCTTAAACATATTTTTGTATTTTTATCTTCTCTCTCTTTTTCTGACTCTGCCCTGTGTGTGTGCATGTAGATCAGCTGAGTTCTCCCTCCCTACAGGTATGTCTGTATGTGTTTCCTTGGGCTAGATGCTCTCTTGATTCTTTTAATTTATTTCCACTAACTGCACTAGCAGGAACCAAACTGAGCAATGACAAAATGTCCTGCTGCCAAAGTCAGCAAGCCAGTACACACAGTCCTGGAATGTTTGGAGGCCAGTGATAAGGACATTGTAGGCAGAGGTTCCTCTCTATCACCATCTCCATTCAGGGATGTCGTCCCTGGGTTTTATAAACTTGATATTAAACCATCCTCTGAATTTGTATGACACTTCTAAAACATCTTTCTCTTCTTCCTGGGAACCAGGAAGATTTAGTTCATGTTTTTTGCACTGCCTCATACCCTACGTTCTTTCATGTTGTACATTGATTTGTACCAGTTTCTTTCTCTGCTATTTATTGACCCATTTGCCCAGTAAGTTGTGGGCATTGTTAGGGTGGATGTGTTGACTTTCAAAGCTCATGGCCCATATCTGAACCCATATGTTATGTGCTTATCCCCTCATAAAAACAGGATACTCAGGAAAATTAATAGATGGAACACGATATATGTGTGTCAGGAGTTAAACTCTTCCTACCATTCTTTCCCTACTTCATTGATAAAGCATTTGGAGTGATATTGGTCACAATTTTAGGGATGTGGAGTCTTGTTCTCTCTGTTGTTTGATACCATATGCACCTGTGATGAGCTGTGAGCACTAATGTTATCACTTAGGGTTTTTTTTGTCAGAACATGAAACACATTGGGGTGTGTAGGAGTTTTTCTGCAGGCAGCAGTGAAGACACACCATTGGAGATTAATTCTTAAATATTTGGTGTAGAACCTCTTTTGTTGGCTGTGTTGGCTCCATCTTAAAGTGTCTAAACAACATCTCTATCCAAATTCCTTGTAGAGCACTGTCCTGGGGGCAAAGAGTCAGAAACTGGCTTTTTGGATAGGTGATTGGGGTGACTTGGTGGAGGACTTAGAGCATGTAATAGGGAAGTCAGAAAAGCAGCCTATCCCTTACTTGCACTGATGCCTTCACATTCTAGAAACAAAACAACACACTTTTGAGACAATATTAATATAGCAAGGAATATAAAAGCAGAATTGGAGGCCTCCAGGTGCAAATATGGCAAAATGCACATGTGATACAGGACTTCCACAATTTTATAAGTTTAATAAATTAGCATATTTAGCAATAGTGTCCAATTAAAAGAGCATTTAGTTAAGTAATTCCCCCTTTTGGTTTTGCCCATTTGGAGCCCCTCCTGAGTTTCCAGCCATATTTATTATGTCTAGAATACATGGTAAAAGGAAATAAGAAATCCTTGGCTAAAGAGGCAGGAATGTAGCATAATATGTCTTAGAAGGTTATCTTATTGATTTAAATGTAGGGGAAAAGGGGTAGGAAAAGTACTGGGAGCTACAGCCATGTGTCAGAAATCTTCAAAGCTTTAAATATATGGCAAATACATGAAAGGCTTAGGCATCAGTGCCTATGCCCACAGTGGCTTGCAAAGAAAAGAGGAATGTGCGTGTCTGGTTCTGCTATGGATCTGAGCATGGAATTCCTCCTGAAGCCAGTGCAAGTATCTCGCCTGTTTGCTTAATGTAAGCTTGAGTAGGCATTCAAGCTTGTGACTGTGCTGCAGGTGAGACCCAGGAGAGGAAGCATCACATCTCTTCTTGTTCCAAATTACCAATGCAGTTTGGAGCTGTGCTAAGTCAGGGTTCAGAAAGTCAGGCCTCCTTCTTTAGGTGATTGCAGATGGACTGAAGTGCCTAAAATCAGGCAACTGACTTAGACAGTTCTGGCAGTGCTCTAAGCAGAAAGGACATACATCAACATGTTTTTCTAGCTTTTCTGGTTAAGTTGGAGTCTGGCACTAATTAACAGACTGAGTTAGTAGTATTCCCGAACTGAAAACTAAAGCTAAGCTTGTAGTTGGACAGATTTGATGAACTGACATCTAATAGCCTCTGATCTCCTACCAGTCTTACTTTGTGTCACTTCCTTTACTTCCTCAGTGTGACTGCTGATTTATGTGATCATGAGGGCGAAACTAACTGACCTTAGCTCTGCAAAGATGTACTTCTAAATATCAGTGATCTCAAGCCATTGTGGGATTGTGCCCCTGGACTGACCACCTCAGTGGCAGACGCCAATGCCACAGTCAGCACCCTCGGTAGTAACTGGCCTTCTGAGTGAAGTAACAAACTTGTGCTTTCCAGTGCAGTCCAGAGTCTTGTTTCTGCTGGTGCCACATGGCTCTTGTGTTTGCTTTGTGGTCTACATGTGGGTCTTACACAGAAGGTTTTTCCTCTCAAATCTGATTGTCACCATTCATGGTATTTCCCTGAGTAACATGTGCATTCAGATACTCATTTCATGTGTAATCTCAGTTAAGTTGTGATATTTATTATAACATATATAGTGTGTGCTAATGATTTTTGTTTACATTCTGCCAAAATGTAGACCTTAGACTTAGACTTCCCAGGTCCAAAATCATCTTTGAGCAGACTGCTTGCTTCTTCAGACAGGTATCAAAAAGAGGAAAAAACTGTCCAGAAAGACCATTTATATCAGAAATCTGCCAAGAGAGGGCTGTTAATCACAAGCAGAGCATGTCATTGCTAGTGATGTATTTTTATGCTATGGAACTCTAATCTGTATGTGTCATATTGACTTCTTGCTGCATGAATCATAAATTTTAAAAATCAGTCTTATGGTTTTGAGATGTAGCCAGCATTCCTAAGGCTAAACCTTTTTCATTGACAGAATCAAAATCCACAACCAAGGAACGTTTTCCTCTCACTGTGAGAGCAAATGAAAGTGTTCAACATTTATCTTTTCACAAAGGAAGAGGCAACAGAGCCTCTTAATGTGTCTTGTTATTGTGATCATCTGGAAATGATTGCCAGACGTTTCCTTTTGATATAGTAATGAAGTGATCTGTATTTAAATTTTATAGAGAGAATTTTATTCTAGTGTGATAGAGATTTATTTTCCACTTAAAGACTCAAAACGGTGTGAGCACGTTTTTGGTTTGTTCCTTTTTTTTTTTTTTTACTATGGTATATTTTTGCTTTAAAATTAAAAACAAAACAAAAAAAAAAAGGTTTGGCCTTATCACAAAGTTTTAGTATAGATGTTAGCAAATGCAAAGAGTATGCATTATTTGTGTGTATCCACATTGACTGATGTCGCCTTCAAAAAGCAATATTGTGCAGGTAATAAGTTGTTTGTGACTGTCCATTGCACAGTTTACCTTCTTTAAAAGCTAACCTTGTTTATGCACAAGACAATCAAATGTAAATCTACATCAGCACCCAGGTGTGGATTAAATTTATGTAAATTACTGAGCACAATGTAAAACATTAAAAGACACTTTATTTAATTACACATTTAATGTTGGTAAAGATAGTATCAGGGCATGAACTAGCTGACATACTGTAATTTCTTTTTCTCTTTTCCTACTTCCTTAGCACTCTACAGTTTCAGTTTGCTCATAAATACATCAAATTAGTCATTCATACTTTTTTTAAAGAGGAGGGTGGTTTGGCTTGTTTATTTGTTTTTATGAAGTTGGTTGGGAGGACTTACTACTTTGTCTATGAGGTTTGTGGGTTTTACTTATTTGGTTTATTTTTTTATATCAGTTTCATGCCCTGAGGGTAAGGCAAACATTACACCATACAGAAAAAAACAAAGTACCTTGGATGATGTATTTTTTTGCAAACAGTGTTAAGAGTTATGCTAGATTGGTAATATTTTTTCAGCCTAAAATATATTAAAAAAAATCTGTGATCACAAATGTTTTAAACTATCTAAAGAGAAAATTTGTATATTTGGGGAAGAAAATAATTTTTACATAGCTTTTGTATGCAGATATTAAAATGTAATTATGAATATAGTGGGCATAGATAACTGTGTAAGCTTGAATTCTAAAAAAGAAAAAGCTTATAACTGAAAAGTGGTCCTGGTGTCTCTGTCTCTTTGTTGCAGGCTCTTTTGTCAGCTCTGTCTCACACTTCCAAACCACTGGAATGGGAAAAGTAGGACCTAGGGCACAATGTTTTATCAGCTCTAACCTGTTCACATTTCTGTGCTTCTGCATCCCTTTCATCACCTACCTCATATCTTATCTCCTCTCCTCCCTTCCATTGGGCAGCCAACCAAAGGTTTTCACTTCCTCACTCTTCACAGCAGCCAACCTTAATTTACTCCAGTGAACTGACTCTTGATTTATGTCTCACTCAATTACATTTTTAAGGGAACACCCTTTCTTTCCTTCCCCACTCCCAGTCTAAACAGGGATGGTGTGACAGGAGCAATAAGCTTCCCATCTTTTCATACTTTCCATGCCTTAGTCCCCTACCTATTGGAGAAGATCTTCTCATTCAGAGATTTCCTTTAGTCTTATTTTCCTTTGCAGTTCTTATTTCTCCTCCAGTTCTTTCACTCCTGGAAGAAGCCAGGCCTATTGCCTGGATCCAGAGTAATGTCTTGGCCTGTCCCAGATGGCAAACCTATTTTGTGCTCTTGTTTCATGGTGGTTTCCACAGGTATTCACTGCCTGCCTGCCAGCTCCTACTCCTGCTCCCCTTCCACAGGAGGTGCCAGGAGCATTCCAAGGGATGCTGAGCTCCCTGAGCTCCCCTGGGAGCACATTGCTGACACCTGGCTCAGTGTCCCTGGGCAGTGGAGTGGCAGCAGCTCCAGGGTTTGTTGTCACTGTGGCCTGTGGGAAGAGGGGCTGCCTTGAAAGGCAGGAGCTGTGTGTGAGGAGCCAGAGGGAAAGCATGAAATCCCTGCTGTGCCTTAACTGGAATCCCTTCAAGCACTGCAGTTCGGGCACCCACGTGGGGAAACCTTGCCAAAGCCTCTGCTGGGTTTGCACCGAGCGAGCAGCAATGTGGGTTGCTTTG